ATGCTTTGGGGCATTTCCTGGCTTCCGCTACCAGGAAAGGCCAGGGAAGTGCCACCTCTGTGGTTAAGCTTCAGCAGCCATGGAACCATGTCTCTTAGCGTCATTAACATGCTAAGGTGGCCTTCTTTGTCCTAACCAGGCCTCCAGCCCCTAAGACAAATCTACGTCCCTTCTGCTCACTCTGGCACTGAGGGCAAGTCCCCCAGACCATGCGGGGATGAGGTGATCGTGGAGGAGAGCGAAGGCAGCCACTTCTACCTACAATAGGCTGCTTGTCTCCTCCGCAGGTAACAGCAGGAGCGACCTCAGTTTTTCCAGGTGAGTGGGTGTCCAGGAAGTGCGACGGAATTGCCTCCAAGAGAATGAGTCACTTATGGGGAAAATGGCAACGAGAACTTCTTCGCCAAAACCATAGAGACTAAAAATATGTCCTTTTACTCAGGAACTAGAAATATGTCCTTTCCCACTGCATCCCCGATGTTGTCACTGGCAAGGTGACTCACTGCAGAAGCCAAGAAAAGGATGCCTGCCCTTTTAAAAGCCTTCTGGGCAAAGAGACCATGGCCCAGGATGGTTAAGACACCAAGGGTGCTCCCCGGCACTAGGAAGGGTCAAGGGGACCCCTCCCCGCTTAAATCCTCAACCCCACTCCTCCTACGTCAGCAGAACCTGTTGCCTTCTTGTTAAACGATCAGCTACAGAGCCTCTGCTGGGTCAAGAAGCGTTTATTAGGTGCTCTGCACATAACTCATCCTGTGGAATGAATGTTTCTTTGGGAAAATAAAGGACCTAGTTAAGTCCAGAATTTCTTTCCCTTCTCCCTCAAACTTTTTCTTTGTATTTTTCTTTCTCGTTCATTTTGTTCCTTTCTCTTTCTCTTCTTCTCTTCCTTTCCCACATACCATAAAATTTACCCTTCTAAAGTGTACAATTCAGCAGCTTTTAATATATTCATAGAGTTGTCCAACCATCACCACTAGTTCCAGAATATTTTCATCACCACAAAAAGAAACCCTATACCCATGACCAGTCACTCTCCACTCCTCCCTCCCTTCAGTTCCTAGGAACTATCATCTCCTTTCTGTCTCTATAGGTTTCTTATTCTGGACTAGAGGCCTGGTACACGAAATTAGTGCACTGGGGGGCGGGGGGAGAGAAGTCCCTCAGCCCGGATTGCAAGAGGGTGCAGGCCAGGCCAAGGAACCCCATCAATGCAAGATCGGGGCTGGGGAGGGACATGGGAGGGTTCCAAGGCGTGTCTGGCCCATCTCAATCAGTCCCGATCAGCCAGACCCCAGCAGCAAGCTAACCTACCGGTCAGAGCGCCTGCCCCCTGGTGGTCAGTGCTGGTCACAGTAACTGGTTGACCGTTCAACTGTCTGCCCCCTGGTGGTCAGTGCACATCATAGCAAGCGGTTGAGCATCCTTAACATATCATTAGCATATTACGCTTTGATTAACTGAACAGACGACTGGACGACCAGACACTTAGCATATTAGGCTTTTATTACATAGAATATTTCATATAAATGGCATCATATATGTAATATGTGGCTGACTTCTTTAATTTAATATAAGGTTTTCAAGGCTCATCCACATTGCAGCATACATTATTTATTCCTTTTTATTGATGCAAATGTTCCATTGTGTGATATTCCACTTTGTTTATCCACTTATCAGCTGATGGACATTTCGGTTGTTTCCACTTTTTGGCCATTATGAATAATGTTACTAACATTCGTGTGCAGTTTTTTGTGTAAACATGTTTTCATTTTCCTAGGGTATAGAGTAAGAGTGGATTTACTGGGTCATATGGTAACTCTATGCTTGATCTTTTGAGGAACTTCCAGACTGTTTTCCAAAGTGGCTGCACCATTTTATTTTTTTTTAATGTATTTTTATTGATTTCAGAGAGGAAAAAAGAGGGAGAGAGAGATAGAAACATCAATGATGAGAGAGAATCATGGATTGGCTACCTCCTGCATGCCCCCTACTGGGGATCGAGCCTGCAACCCGGGCATGTGCCCTGACCAGGAATTGAACCATGACCTCCTAGTTCATAGGTCAACACTCAACCACTGAGCCACGCCAGCTAGGCTGTTTTTTCTAGTTTGTTTGTTCTTATTGGTTCCCCCTTTTTTATTGAAGGGGAGACAAAAACTGTCCTCTGGAATAAATTATCTGTTGACAAAGGATAAAGACAAAGAGGGAATCTTAAAAGCAGCAAGACTAAAGTGGTTAGTTATCTACAAGGGAGTTCCCGTAAGAATGCCAGTTGATTTCTCAACTGGTATTATGCTGAGTGAAATAAGTCAGACATAGAAAGACAAGTGCCATATGATTTCACTTTATGTGGATCTTAAAACACAAAATAAACAAGCAGAACAGAAACAGACTCATAGATATAGAAAACATTTTGATGGTTGGTTGCCAGATGGGAGGAGGGTTAAGGGGTTGGGTGAAAAAGATTAAAGACAAAGAGAGTATCTTAAATGCCTCAAGACAAAAGCAGTTATTTATCTACAAGGGAGCCTCCATAAGATTGGCAGTTGGTTTCTCAACAGAAACTTTTCTGGCCAAAAGGGATTGGCAAGAAATACTCAAAGTGATGTAAAACAAGCACCTACAACCCAGCAAAGCTATCATTTAGAATTGAAGGACAGATAAAGAGCTTCCTAGACAAGAAAAAGATGAAGGAATTCATTACCGCCAAACCAGCATTACCAGAAACGTTAAACGGTCTTCTTTAAGAAGGAAAAACAAATGAATAAAATGGCAATAAATACATATCAATCTTTACTTTAAATGATGAAATCTTGTCATCTGAAACAACATGGATGGACCTAGAGGGTACTGTGCTGAGTGACACAGACATAGAAAGATAAATGCCATATGATTTCACTTGTATGTGGACTCTAAAAAGCAGAACAGAAACAGACTCATAGATACAGGAAACATTTTCATGGTTGCCAGATGGGAGGAGGGTTAAGATGAAGGGATTAAGAAGTACAAATTGGCAATTATAGAATAGACACAGGGAGGTAAAGTAGAGCATAGGAAATAAGTCAATAATACTGTAATAACTATATATGGTGTCAGATTTGTCAAGGTGACCACTTAGTTATTTACATACTATCTAATCACTGGCTTGTACACCTGAAACTAATATTGTATGCCAACTGTAATTGAAAAATAAAAATTATTTAAAGTAAAAAAATATTATTTGTTGATTGGAATTCACTTCCTCCTTGAAAGCATTCTTCATGAAACTCCTTGACTTCCTACTGTTGAGCCACTAATTTACAGATCTGTGGACAAGTGCCATTCTGGGATTTTTCCCCCTTGTGTTGCTCACTTATTTTCATTATTTCTTTTTCCTGAATTCCCTTTTCATTTTGAAAGTTTATGTCCTTGAATCCTCCCAAAGGGGCATATGGGAAATCAATGTTCAAAAAAATGTTATTTGATCCTTTGGGTGGGCATACAATTATAGATCAAAACAATATCCACTGGGTACTTGAAAGCCATTGTTTCAATATCTTGTAGAATCCAATATTGCTGATAAGAAGTTTGAGGCTAGTTGGGTGCTTCTTCTTTGGCAGGTGACTTGTTTTTCCTTCTCCAGAAACTTTTAGGACTTCCTTTTTTGTTTTTTAAATATATTTTTTATTGATTTTTTACAGAGAGGAAGGGAGAGAGAGAGAGTTAGAAACATCGAAGAGAGAGAAACATCGATCAGCTGCCTCCTGCACACTCCCTACTGGGGATGTGCCTGCAACCAAGGTACATGCCCTTGACTGGAATTGAACCTGGGACCCTTCAGTCCACAGGCCGACGCTCTATCCACTGAGCCAAACCAACTAGGGCAGGACTTCCTTTTTAAAGCAGTGGTTCTCAACCTTCTGGCCCTTTAAATAGTTCCTCGTGTTGTGACCCAACCATAAAATTATTTTCGTTGCTACTTCATAACTGTAATGTTGCTACTGTTATGAATCGTAATGTAAATATCTGATATGCAAGATGGTCTTAGGCGAACCCTGTGAAAGGGGTCGCCAAAGGCGTCGCGACCCCAGGTTGAGAACCGCTGTTTTAAAGATTACCCTTAGAGTACTGTAGTATCATCAGACTGTGTCTAGTTTTGTCGGGGCATTTTGTTCTGTTGTTGATCTTGCCTGACACTTGAGCCCTTTCAATATGAAGTCATTCCTTTCTTCAATGCATAGATATTTTCTTCTATTGGTTCCATCCTCTCTGTCTCCTTTTCTTCTCCATTTCTGGAACTTCCAGATGAACTGCCCCTCATGTCCCTTCTTTTTTCTCTTTTTTCTCTCTGCTAGTCCTTTCAGCGCTGGAATTTCCCCAGCAGCCAGACAGAGTAATGATTGTCACGTACTGCTTCCTCTCTGGATGCTCGCCTCCACTCCTACAGCCTTCCCTCTCTCCTGTATTCTGAGGCCTGTCCAAACCACAATGCCTTTCTCTTCAGCTCTCATGGGCTTCAGGCCCAAATTTCCTTCTACCTGCTCAGCCTGTCCACACAGATACTTTAAACTCAGTATCTGGACTCTGGTGTGAATAGCTCAGAACCTGGGCAATAGAGGCTTTCCTCTTCCAGATCATGTCGCCAGGGTGTCGAAAGGAGGCCAAGTGTCCTTGGGGCCTCTGGGATTTCCCCTTGGCACCGCCTCAGGGCATTTGCCCTCCATGAGGTTAGAGGTTCAGCGTGTCTGGGACTTAGACAGTTGGGATTTTGGGGTGTTTTTCTTCCTAATAAACAAAGCAAAAGGTCAGCTGGCCACGCTGCCTGAAAGCTAAGGAAGTGCTGTGGTTTCGGCTGCTGTAAACATCTGGATGTAGAAGGTGGGCAGATGCAGGTGGTGAGGGGAACCACGTTCCTCTTTGGAAGATACAGGCCCCCGATTTCTCTCTTGCTCCCTCATTTGGGCAAAAGAACCGGATTATTAGAATAGCAGAATTTCAGATTTTAAAAAATAGAATTAGTGCTCGCTTCGGCAGCACATATACTAAAAAAAATTGGAACGATACAGAGAAGATTAGCATGGCCCCTGCGCAAGGATGACACGCAAATTCGTGAAGCGTTCCATAAAAAAAATTAAAAAATAGAATTATATAAACACAAAAGGCAAGATTTGAAAGGGACTCTGGAAATCATCTGGGTGGTGACGATTTAAAAAAAAAAAAAAAAGAAAGCAAGCCCAGCCCTAGCTGGTTTTGCTCAGTGGATAGAGCATCAGCCTGAGGACTAAAGGGTCCCGGGTTCGATTCCGGTCAAGGGCACATGCCTGGGTTGGAGGCTCGATCTCCAGTAGGGAGCGTGCAGGACGCAACCGATCGATGATTCTCTCTCATCATTGATGTTTTTGTCTCTCTTCCTCTATGAAATCAATAAAAATATATATTAAAAAAAGAAAAGAAAGAAAGCCCAGATGTGTCATGTGACCCGCCAAGAAGTTCCAGAGAAAACTGGGCATGCTGCATCCTGCCATCCTAGTGCCAGCATGTTATGTTCACTCCACAAGCGAAGAATAATGGAATGGACTCATGCGGGAGCCCCATTCCAGGATTTCCAGGTGGCAGGGCTCCTGGTGAAGGGTCAGACCTCAGTCCAAAGGTCTTCAAGATTTGGGATTCCCTTTGTTCAGCTAGAGGTGGGGGAGGAGCACCGTGACCCTCCCGCCTGGTTTGTGACTCCAGCTTATCAGGGTTGCATCAACTTCTGGGTGTCCTGTGAATAACCTATGACCCACACACTGAGCCAGCAAATCAGGGCACATAACTCTTGGGGCCACAGGTCTGACATTTCTGCTGAGATCATGGCAGGAGCACCGATGGTGGGAGTGGGACTCCTCCGACTTTATTTCTTCATTTCCCCAAACAGGGACTCTGAGATTCCACTTCAGAAGGAAGATGCTTACAGGTGTGAATGGGATTTACAAAATGCCAAATTAAATTCAGTACTGAGCCCCCACTACCTGCCAAGCACTGTTCCCACTGCTCTTTTTTCTTCTTCTTAATATACTTTTATTGATCTCAGAGCGGGAGGGAGAGATAGAAACATCGATGATGAGAATCATGGATCGGCTGCCGCCTGCACGCTCCCTGCTGGGCATTGAGCCAGAAACCCAGGTATGTCCCTGACTGGGAACTGAACCGTGACCTCCTGGTTCATAGGTCAACACTCAACCCCTGAGCCGCCAAGGCCGAGCCCCACTGCGCTTCACGGCTAAAGGGGAGCAAATTATACCAGCCCCAAATGTGCCACTTTGGTTTGTTATTCTGAGTTCAAGTTCTTGAGAAACGGCCTGTGCAAGGAGGACACGCTGAGCTAAGGGTGATGGAAGGCAACTGGGGGCTTTAGAGAGAAGGAATCCTCCCTTTAGCATCCTGAAAGCAGGAAGTCACTCTCTCCCGTGAAGGTACCTTCCCTGTAGGAGGCAGGTAGAAGGCATCCTTCTCACCAGAGACAGAAAATTTAGGCTTGAAAAGACTATAAGCAAACCTAAACCCTTTGTTTGGTCAATTCTTCACAAATTTATTTTCTTTTTTAAATGGTCTAAAAGCCGCCTGTTTTGATGACAAAGATATGATGACTCATCTCTTTATGTGCTAAGTTAAATGTTTTTCCTGTTAATCTGTTTTGTGTCAATGTCATTATTAGACCAGCTAAACCACTGAGAGATGGGAAGAGGGGAAAAGTTCTCCTACCAAAACGCTCAGGAGGCAGGCACTGCTATGAAAACACTGGGGAACAGAGAGGATCAGCAACTTGTCCAAGGTCACCCGGCTAGGAAGCAGTGTGAACTGGGATTCAAACCCAGGAAATCTGGCGCCAGAACCCACACACTCAGCCTGGACTACCTTGCTTCTAAGCAAGGACTGTTACTATTTTTTTCAAATATATTTTATTGATTTTTTACAGAGAGGAAGGGAGAGGGATAGAGTTAGAAACATTGATCAGCTGCCTCCTGCACATCCCCTAACTGGGGATGTGTCCGAAACCAAGGTACATGCCCTTGACGGGAATCGAACCTGGGACCCTTCAGTCAGCAGGCCAATACTCTATCCACTGAGCCAAACCCGTTAGGGCAGTGGTCGGCAAACTGCGGCTCGAGAGCCACATGCGGCTCTTTGGCCCCTTGAGTGCGGCTCTTCCACAAAATCCCGACTTCTGCGCATGGGCCACGAAGTTTCAATCGCACTGTACATGCGCGCCCACGCGTGGTATTTGGTGGAAGAACCACACTCAAGGGGCCAAAGAGCCGCATGTGGCTTGCGAGCCGCAGTTTGCCGACCACTGGGTTAGGGCAATGACTGTTACTATTACTGAGCACTCACCTTGGGACATTCAGCCAGTGCCTCAGAACTGACTTATTTCATTGACTCTAGAACAGTCCCTTCCGGTTTGAGGTAACATTTGCACTTAATACAGGAGAACACAGACTCAGAGACTGAACAGCTTGTGCAGGGTCCCGCACTAACTGGTGGTGGGACTGGAATTCCGAGATCAGGAGGTTTCCCAAACCCCCGGTCTTCCTTGTTCTTAAATGCTGATGATTGCTGAAGGTGAACGACACACCCCAGGGTTCATTTTACCCTTCACCGTGTTTGTGTGTATTTGCAAATCACCTTAAAAAACCCCATTACGCCCAACTGGCATGGCTCAGTGGTTGAGTGTCAACCTATGAACCAGGAGGTCACGATTTGATCCCTGTGTGGGGTGTGCAGGAGGCAGCCGATCAATGATTCTCTGTCATCGTTGATGTTTCTATTTCTCTTTCCCTTTCCCTTCCTCTTTGAAATCAATAAAAAAATATATTAAAAAAAAACACAGACCTAACCTGTTTGGCTCAGTGGATAGAGCTTCACCCTGCGGACTCAAGGGTCCCGAGTTCGATTCCGGTCAAGGGCATGTACCTTGGTTGCGGGCACATCCCCAGTAGGGAGTGTGCAGGAGGCCGATGTTTCTCTCTCATCGATGTTTCTAACTCTCTATTCCTCTCCCTTCCTCTCTGTAAAAATTAATAAAATATATTTAAAAGAAACAAAACACAAAAACACCCTATTGTGCTGTCCCAACTCAGTTGGCTGCCTCCTTCCTTGATGAGTGGGGGAGAGGAAAAGGTTAGCTGTGGGTCAGCAGAATTTCCCAAACTTTTTCAACCTCAGAATCCCTTTTGTTTTCTTAGAAGCGTTTTAATGAGACGGGGAGTCTGAGAGCTTTGTTGGGGGAAGCTGATTTCTTACCTCACTCGGCCAATCAGAGAGCTGGCTTCTGGTGGCTTGTCCTGGGCCTGGGCATCAGCAGGGAGCTGGGATGAGGGGTGAGTGGTGTCCCAGGAGAAGGTGGTCACAGCGACAGGCTCACGAGGTGCCAGGCACCGTCCAACCCGGTGGGGAGGAAACCTCTCTGAGCAGCGGGACATCCAGATGTGTCTTCTCTCCGGCAAGGGGAAGAAAGGGTCCATGCAGCGCTTGAGGTCGCTGCAGTGGACAGAAGGAGATTGTGCCAACTCAGGCTGGTATCTGGAATTCCGCAAACGTATTAGCATCATTTCTCTTTCTTACGTGCCTTTCTGTTTAAAAGATACTTTCCCTCATAGCAACTCACTTCATCCTCATCACACTTGAGCAAGATGGGCCGTGTGGCTACCACTTTATGGCGCTGAGGAAAGAATTTGCGTGACTCTCTGAGGTCACACGATCAAGGCCAAACAGGGAGACTGGGACGGAAGCCCAGGATGTCAGTGCCACTGGCTCTCTGTCACCCAGAATCACTGGGGGTTGGTATCTTTACTTTTGGAGGGTCTGTTTAGTCTACAAAATGTGGGTGTGGCCTAAGGTCATGTGGGCACGTTCAGAGGGGACCACACACACAGGAGGGGAGGACAAAGCTGGGCGTGAAATGCCCCCGGACAGGAGAGATGGGCTCTTCACTTGGGCGCTGGTGTAGGCTGGCAAGAGGCTGGATTCATGAGCAAGGGGAGGAGAAAAGTAGAGGCGGGGGCCACAGTCAGGGAGGGACAGAGAAGAGGTCCAGGAAGGGGACTTCCGGGGCAGTGGGGACAGCCATCCCACACTGCCCATGGGCCGAGTGTAAGTCCTGCCCTGGTATGCCCCAGGCCGTCTGACTCCAGGCCCTCGGCTTGTCCACAGCCAGCTCAGCTCCTCATCAGGCCAGGAGGCTGGGGCAGAAGGTGTCGCCTCCAGCTGTGGCCAGTTGTGCGTGGCTTTGTTCTTAGGGGAGGATCAGGCTGAAAAATTTGGAAATTCTAAAAGGACAGGGCTGGCCTGGGTTAAGATGAAGGGAAGGGACGATGAGAGCTGGGGTCTATGTGGGAAGCCGCTGGGAAGCCCTCGGCTCTGAGAGCAAGGAGCTCTTCAGTAACAGCTCAGGATGCCGAAGGCATGGCTATTCCCTTAATTCAGCGGTTCTCAACCTGTGGGTCGCGACCCCTTTGGGGATGGAACGACCCTTTCACAGGGGTCGCCTAAGACCATCCTGCATATCAGATATTTACATGACGATTCATCACTGTAATGATGATTCATTACAGTTATGAAGTAGCAACGAAAATAATGTTATGGTTGGGTCACAACGTGAGGAACTGTATTTAAAGGGCCAGAAGGTTGAGAACCACTACTCTAATTCCTGCAGGTACTGTCCTCATGGTTTCAAGGCACTTAGGGTGTCAATGACTATGTCTGTTCTCTGCTTTTCAGCCATTAGCCAAACACATAAAACCCCTAATCCAGTCAGTGAGTTGTTTTATAACTAGAATCTTCTTCCTCGGATTTATCTTCTCTTTCAAGATTTGGGGTTTTGTGCCTGGCTGGCGTGGCTCAGTGGTTGAGCGTCGACCTATGAACCAGGAGGTCACGGTTTGATTCCCGGTCAGGGCACAGGCCCAGGTGGCCGGCTCGATCCCCAGTGTGGGCGTGCAGGAGGCAGCCGATCAATGATTCTCTCTCATCACTGATGTTTCCCTCTCTCTCTCCCTCTCCCTTCCTCTGTGACATCAATAAAAATCTTAAAAAAAAATAAAAATTGGGGGGTTTGTAAACTGAATTTTCTAAGTGGTTATATATAGAA